TGGCTGCCCGGGCGGATGGGACCCCTCTGACCGGGGCGATCCGGAGCAGCCCGGCCGGGAGAGCCGCCTCACCTGGTGCCTGGAGGAGTGGGGTTGGTTTGCTTTTGGCCTTGCCTCGCAGGAGACAGATGGTTTCTTGTCACTTCACCGTTTTTGCCATCTCCTGCACGATGTTGCTTAAATAAACCTTCTCTTTCTTGGCCCTTGCTACGCTGCGTTGTTCCTAATGTGTCTGTGTCGTGTCAGAAGTTGTGAATCGCACACAGCAGAAGGCTCTTCATAAGCATGAAGAGCACTGGGGAGCGCTCGGAGGATGGATCTTCTAATTAGAAGACAGTTAAGTGACTAAGTGTTTTGAAAGTGTCTAGGGTGATAATTTACTTGTTAACTTTTTACGCAATGCCAGACATCCATCGCATGGTTGCCTTGCAAGTCGTCTGTAATGCTCTGGGACTGTACGTTAAAAAGCTCGTGTTTAAGCCGAGTGCCACTGAGGAGGGAAAGTGCAGCTGGGACTTTGTGGCAGTGCCAAGCCGTACGTTAAAAAGCTCGAGTTTAAGCCGAGTGCCACTGAGGAGGGAGAGTGCAGCTGGGACTTTGTGGCAGTGCCAAGCCTGTAGCTTTCAGTGTGTGTGGTGTTACAGTTTTGGATACGCGTTCCCAAGAGACGAAGGCTCAGAAGTAGTGTTGGTTCAATATGTGAACTATTCCCATCTGAGTGAAAGTCCTCAGTAAAACACAAGGCTTAAAAGGAGAGAGGCATTGTCTCCACTGTGTGCAGGCACACTAGCCTTCCAGTCCTGAAGAAGTAGGTGATGTCTTCTTTAGAGATCTTAATTTCCATTGTCATGGAAAGTGATGATAGTAAATACCTTTGCTGTGCCTGAGCATTGTGAACCCAGGCTGCCGAAGGCACTGAAGAATCTTTACAGGAGTGTTGGTCACCTTGTTCCGTTCCCCGTTGCTCTGTTTGTGATATGCCAGAAGGTCTTGGAGCCAATGAGCAGAGAAAATTCGGAAACTGGGATGAAACAGTAATGATAGAGTGAGAAACCGGGATGGAAGCTACTGCATCATCCTAATCTGAGACCTTGCGTTACTTGTTATGAATGTTCACTGACGGGTGCCCTTGCTGTGGTCAGGCTGTTTACTTCATAGTGAAAACCTGCTGCTGGTGCCTTGAATGACTTACAGCTGCAGTGGTTGTATAAAAACAGTAAATGATTTTTTTACATATAGCAAAGTCCTGCTATGTTTTGATAAGCCTTCACAATTAACTATCATATATTTGATGAATGATGTATTAAATAAATAGAAACCAGGTTAATGCAGGTTTTGTATTCTGAAACTGGTTTATGTCAGAATAAAATTGGACTTTTATTTGATCATAAGCATTTCTAGGGAAAAAAGTAACATCCCATTGGTGTTTACGTTGGTATTACCATGTGGAACAGTTGATTCTTAATTAAGTTGGAGATTATTGTATTTGAAGAATTACAAGAAGCAGAGTCTTGTTAAGAGGGAGATATCAAGAGAGAGTATAAAATAGGGAAATAATGACTGCGGGGGAGTTATTAATAGATCTTGCTCAGTATTTTAGTTGATGACCTTGGTGCACAAAACAGGATGCAGTAATGATGTTTGATGACCCTAAGCCGGGAACTGTTTGCAGGGCCAAAGAGGACTGAGATATCCTACAGGAAAAATGGAATGATGTTGAGTGTCAGAGTAAGTAATACCTGTGGGCTGAAATTTGGTGTGCAAGGTTTTGGGCTGGTACCAAGGAACAAGGAGTTCAGTAATAGGAAAGGAGAGAGACCTGAATGTAGTGATGGATCACAGGATGTGAGCAACCACTTCATGACAGTGAAAGAAGAAATTGTGATCCTCAGTGTGCAGCAGAAGAGCTCACTTAAAGAGAGACACAAAAGTGTGAACTTTTGCATACAAGTCTGTGAGAGCCAAACCTGGGATCGTATGCATCAGCTTTGGTCACACATTACAAAAAAAAACGATGTGCAGGCTTTGGGAAGTGCCAAGAGCTATTGGGATGGTGAAGTAAGTGGAGAGTCAGGAATTTAGCTTGTTTTCCTTGGAAAGCTAAAGCTAAGAAGGAACATACCTAATGGGGTTTTCTAAACTGTTATGGTATTCCTGCAGAGTTTGTAATTGGGACCTACAAGCTCTGTGCCGTGTATCAAAATGACTTTCCTGTAAATTCTGGGAATTCCTGTGATCACTTGGTGGGCAAAGCCCCTAGGGACGGGGAGACTCTCAGCTGAAATAATTATGTATTTGTGACTCAGTGCTTTCTCTCCTGGAGGCTAAATGTATTATCCAAGCTCCACTGCCATGCCATCCAAAGGAGGGGAGAAAAAATTGGAGCACCTCCTTTTTGCCTGAGAGGGTGTGTTGCAGTGGTTGTGCCAGCACCAGCCTTAATGCAGACGTGGTGTTCAGTGTGAGTCAGGAAGCTGACTCACACAAGAAGCCAGACACCATGGTTGCCCTCTTTCCCCCTCCAAGATGCATTCATGATTACAAATCTTGCGGAGAATTGGCCATGTAGAAGAGATCCTGTATTCTCAGGAGGACTCTGTTGCCTCTCTGAACTGCCAGCAGGAAGTTATGTGTGATCAGAACTTCTTTTTTTTCTTTTATTTTCCCTCTTGGAACTTCTTCTGAGTGATGGAGGATGCTGGAATGTAGCATCGCATCTTCTGTGCTGTTACCTGTAGTGTCTTAACTAGCCTGGATGTATTTGACTTCCCTTTTGGCCTTCAGTCAGCAAAAGTGAGCGCTGCGTCCTCTGCACTGTGGCTGTGTCTTCAGAGGGCTTCCTTCGGATCTGCCGAAGCCAGGGAGGAAAGGGGACGGATGCACTGGTTTTGCTCCCCTTGTGCCCGCGTGGCCATAAGTAAGAGTTATCAAAAGCCGCCACCAGTTGGCAGTTTCAAATTTAAAAACAATGTCAGGGCTGCTTTTCTGAAGTTCCAGGTGGCTAAGCTGTCGGTCAAAATCGTTGTTATACACAAATGTGGCTCTGAATCTATGTATAACAAGACTCTTGATGGACAGATTTATTTTTTTTTTTTAAAGAGTGATTGGGATGGGAGCTCTGCCATTCCTGTGGTGTCGGCAGAGTCACTCATGTAGGACACTACCTAGAGCATGGGCCAGGGGAGCTCTTTTTCCTTTCACTCTCAGGTTGTTTTGTGCCTGGTTACCATTACGGTTTGTAATAACATATGAATGTGTGGTGATTTTAACCAAAAGTGTGTTACTTCAGTCAGCGTTTCTCTGTATTAAGATTACTTGTCTAGTTTGCTGGGGTGTTTGCTTTTATCTGGGGTTACAAAAATGGATGTGCTGTGAGATTGCTGAAACTCTGACTCCATCCTGAAAAATATTTCTCTGATTTCACTTTGTAGTTGAGAAGTGTTTTCTGGCATCTCTTCAAGAAGAGAGATGTGTGAACCTCTGTGGCTGACTTGAAACTAAGGGCTGTGTTTACTTGCTTCTGAATTACATAATCTCCAGTTGTTAGTTAAAGGAGAGGAGAAAAAGAGTTTATTGTTACTACAAAGCGAGCCTTTCTTCCATCTGATACCGATTTCATTTCTTCACCTCTTCTCTGTAGTTTCATACTCCTAGCTGTCCCATCCGAGATGTTTCCTCCTCCTCTGTCTCCTAGTAGATAAAGCTATTTTTAAAACCTGTTTTCTTTGTAAGGAATTTTTGCAGCTGTTGTTAGTTCTGCTCTCAAATGACTAACTGCCTCCTTGGAAAAAATTTGAAAAATGTAATAGCCATATGTTTTAACCCAATCTCCAAGTTATTTAAGAGAAATATATTTAATGTTTCTTATATCTGCATTTTTCACCCTTTTTTTATTATTTTTCAGGATTTGGGTATCTCCTAATTGAGGAGGGTCAAAATACTGATTGCCAAGTGAATCCTCCTCAGTCAGCCTGTTGGATGTCTCTGAGAATTTAAGAAGTCATGGCGGAAAATGATGCAATGCCAACCTTACCAAAAAAGTGTGGCCCGTACATTTCATCTGTAACCAGCCGTGGCATGAATTTGGTAATTCGTGGTATAGTGCTGTTTTTTATTGGCGTATTTCTTGCATTAGTATTAAACTTGCTTCAGATCCAGAGAAACGTTACTCTCTTCCCCCCTGATGTGATCACAAGCATCTTCTCCTCAGCTTGGTGGGTACCACCTTGCTGTGGAACAGCGTCAGGTAAGTTCAGCCATGTACGTATGCCTGGCGTGGAGATGAAAGGGTGGGTAGGTAGTTGTATAGTGCAAAAAGCTATATGAAATGTGTGGAAGAAAAAAGATTCTCTTCCAGCATCACTGCCCTTTCCCGCTATTACTATCCTTCTGATCTCCCCATGTATAAACAAATATGCGTGTATGTGTCCGGAAATTGTTGTTCTCCTAGCTTGTTATGCTGTAATATTGTTAGCAGAGCATAATCTTTGGTTTTCTCCTGGGTTCGAGTACGAGTTTAACAGAGTTTAGAAGGTGGTTCCACTTGTAACCTTGAGGCTGTATTGCAGGGGTGTGCTCTACAGGCAGCCCTTGAAAATACCCTGGAAGTGCCAGATGGTGCAGCACTCAGTACCTTGTTTTGAGCACAGCAAACCGCCCTGAGTTACGCTTACTTTTGTGGTCCAGCTTCCCATTTGTTCCCCATTCCAGTTGGAGGTATCACTTTAGCTCTGTAAAGCTGGGAGACCTGACTATGTCTCAGGGAGTTGACGCCAGGGACGCAGTTTGCTGTTGTGGAGGTGTGTTGCAGAGCAGCACCTTGGTTAAACTCATGTATCAAGTCGGATGATGTGCATGTGTTCCATTTCTCCTGTGACCAAGTAGGGAGTTAAAGCTTTTGCATGTTTAGCTAGTTTAAGTCAGATGTCTACTGTAGGTGGTAAGAATTATCCCCTTTTCCTCTTCTTTCATCTTCAAGTATCAAGGCATATTCCGTGTTACAAGCTTGATGGAATTCGGCTTTCTACTTGGCTCTGAAGGTCACTGATCCCGATGGGTCAGTTTTGTGCTTTATTAAGGGAGTATTCTTAGCAGCCAGTACTGGAGGATTTTGCTTTAACAAACTTTTACCATCAAGGCAGTGTCTCCCCAGAGGTGCGTTTTAATAAGACTGAGAAACTCGCGTTTCTGGGTATTAATATGAGTCAATATAAATAGCTTTTGAGTTGGCATCAGTGTTTTGCTAATGATAATATTTAAGTCTATTTTTTTCCTAGTCTTCTAATTGCTTTCTTTTTGATACTTTGTTGAAATACTGTACCCCAGATGTCACAGAGCAGCTTGATTGGAAAGGAAACCCTCCAAATATGTCTCTGAACCCGACAGTTTTGCTCTGCTGTGGAAATGCATTTGGTGTGTTATGGTGGCAGTTACATACCCGCTTTATCTTCTGGTTGTCATAGTCCTCTTTCTGCTGTCCTGCTGAGATTGTGGATTAGTTATCATATTGTATCTTGCATTTGTATTTTTCTTTTATACTTTAAACTGATTGTCTTAACAAACATGTCTGGTAAGGGTTTGATCTTTTATGTGTGGTGTAATGGGGGTTGAAATGACAGAATCCCAACTCGCAGCAGCAACGCGTAAGGTCTGCAATGTTCACTGTAACGTCTGCACTGTCAACTCTTTGCACCAGGCTGCACTTTATGCTCTCACGGGTCGTCTGAGGACAGTCTGCGGCTTCGTATGGGGAAGCCGTGAAGGCCAGGCCTTGCCATCATCTCAGAAGAATTTTTTGTGCCTTTCCGGTTCTGATGGGGTGGTGGTTTTGATGGAAAGACTCGATATGGCTTGTAAAGTGTAGTCAGTCACCTGCTAGGTATTTGCATTGCTTGATTTTAAGCCACCTGATTTACAAATTTAACTGTGTTAGTTGGCTTTTCCCAGCAGGAGTGACCCCTGCTGAGGTGTTAGAGTTCTTTCTTTTTCATTATCATTCTTTTCTTCTCCATTTTCTTTCCTTATCCTCTCTGCTAGTGTACATACAAGGAACCTCTGTGGTAAATGCTGATAATTCGCCCATTTTCTTACTATTTGTGCTTGCACAGCCTTCCTGGAATTGACACGAACATTTCTCTGCAGTGTGGTTTATTATTATGAACAGAATAAAGGTACTTTGCATATTTATTATCAGTGGTGATCAAGGCTGCTTTCAGAGAAGTCCTTTCATCCGTCACTGTTATTAGTCATCAGTTTGGCCCAATGCCTTTGGCAAGAAAATTGCTCAGGGAGGTTATTTTCCTCTCCAGCTTTACTGGTGATTTGTTTTCCTGAGTCCTGGAGATCAGTTTCCTCTCCAGCAGAATAAAGAGTATTTGCCATAACATACCTCCAACAGCATGCCAGACTGAGGGCACTGGAGTTCGTAGTGATGACTCAGGCTCTGCCCCCCTCCTACAGCACCAGTTTAACATTAAGCACCAGTGTTATTCCTCAGCTGTGTTGGTAACAGTCTTTTCAGCTGCAGTCACAGTACAGAACAAATTTAGAAAGAAGTGTTCAAAGAGTGTAGCAGTTCCCTGGGGTTGAAAGTCCTGTTTCTTTTCTGTATTCAAAAGCTACTGTAGGCTCTTGGCCTTCCCTCTTCTATGTGAGCCTTTATAGTAACATTGAAGAAGAGAAAAACATTATCCAAACAAAACCTGCTTGTAACAACAACAAAAGAAGACACAAAATATTGATGTTATAAATCACACCCTTCCTATACTGTGGTGTGTTTAGTTTGCAGTTATTTAAGCATGTATGTTTGATATGTGGGATTTTCAGAAGTGCCAGTCTGCAAGCTATTACTGCTCTTTTTGAACTACAATGCGAGACGGCAGATTTTGGTAGGGTGCAGAGCTCTTTCATCCTCTGCCCCTAGTTCAAATCGTCTCTGTTTTGCTACTTCTGTCAGATCACTGCTGCAGTGGTTGAAGATGCTGCTGGAGTTTTACAGGGCTTTTTTAAACAATTAAATTGTTTGAAATTCCTCATCTTTTACATTGTATGTTTTGTACTATTTATCGTTAAAAGATCTGTTTTGGTAGTCACAATAATTGTCAAAGTCTAGATAGTCTTTGTTTTAGTTAAATATTGCCAGTGCTTTAACTTCTGGGCCTTTTTTCTTTCCTGTCTCCACAGCTGTGATTGGGTTATTGTACCCATGCATGGACAGACATCTGGGAGAGCCACATAAATTCAAGAGAGAATGGTCCAGTGTAATGCGATGTGTAGCTGTCTTTGTGGGAATAAATCATGCCAGCGCCGTATCCTATATTCTAATGAAATTGGCGATAACAAATGGGTTTCCACTAAAACAAAGCTCACATAGTCAGTCACGGTGAATTGTTGTTAAAGGTAGAACGTGCAGTGGTTTTGGAAAGGAAGTACAGAATATGTGTTAAACTGTCATGAGAATATTGGAGGTGATAAGTCTCAAGTCTTTTTGTTCTGAGAATCTTTTCATTAGAAATGCCTCAATACTGGGCTTTGTCTTACTTAGTCTTTTATTTTCTTTGAATAGTTCAGTGTGGAGAAATATTTATGTGGTAGGTATTAGAGAAAAGTGCTTTAAGACATTCCAAGGGTTGATGTCCTTTTAACACTGTAGTAGGAGGTCGAAGCCCAGTCTTGAGGTCATCAGTGAAGCATGTGCACTTTGCAAAGAATGGGGAAAACTCAGGACCGGGTAACACCCAGGACTACACAAAGCTAATAAGCGTTGTTACCCCGTTCTGCAAATGATGCTGTGATGCTGAGAGAGTAGTTACCATTCCTGTGGTTGTTCAATAAGAGCAATTAGAAGTCAGTCAGCGTGTTGCAGTGTATTATACTCCTGCTAATTGTGTACCTGTTCGGATACATGCTTGCACAAGTGTGCTCAAAACTGGCGTCCCTTCCCTCTGAAGCAGCTGGGGACATGCTGGGTGACAGGGTGCTTTCCATGTGGGCTGACACACCTCACTGGCAACACCGTGCGTCTTAGCGGTTTTGTGTAGTCATGCCTAGTGCCTCTGTCAGGTAAAACCAGGATCTACCCACGAAAACTGGGTTCCTGTAAACTAATTAGAAAGAAAGTTGATCATCTCTGGAACTCTCATCTCCTTCAGTGTCAGCTCCAAATGGTTTGCAAAAACCATGCTACGAAGTTTGGATTGCATGCTGCTGAGTCTCCTCATTTCCAGGAAGAGAGGGCAAGTTAAGTTAAAGATGTGAGAGCTGCCTGAATTCTTACTGAGGTGGCTTGGCCCTCGGATGGGTGGTGTTGTTTGGTTTTGTTCCCACCAGCCGTACTATCCAGTATGGCTGGATGAGCTGGAGCTGCCAAGGTTTGGAATCATCCCCACTGTCCCTCACGAAGCTTGCTCTCCTTGCCAAAGGGACGTTAACCTGGTCCTGTGGTTCTCGCTGGCCTGGGCTGTACCTGTTGTGTAAGCACATGCAGCTTCACTGCTTTTAAGAGATACAAGAGAATTGACAGGTTCTCTCTGCATGGTTCACATTATTTACAGCAAACCTTCTTGCAGTTTCTAACAGCTGTTACACATATTCCAGGACATCATTAATGTACTGTCTGTATTTCCTCCTTGACAGCTCTCCAGAGTACTTTCTTTTCAGCTTATTACCAGTTCTGCACATTATCATATTTGGTGTGTTTTTTGGTCGTTTGACGTTTTTTCTGATGCTATTGATTTTTATCCTGTAATTATTTATTTCAGTTAGCTGAACTTTCTTATTTCCTCCAGGTGTCTCTCCAGGTCTTTGTGAGAAAACAGAGCAGTGTTTTTATGTTGTCATCCCATAAATTTGCTTTCGGACTTATGAAACTTGACAGCCTCCTTTTTAATAATCGGTTTTGGATGGGAGTAGTAAGGATGAGTTAGTATTTCCAAAACATTTTGAAGAATATGAAACACTACAAAGATATCTGGAGTAACTTCATACTTTTATTACAGAGTTGACAAAACTGATTTTCAATGTTGATTTACGTGAATACTTTCACAGTAATATTATTTACATTTTGTTTTATAGAAAACATTAACATTTTTAATATTTAGCTGAATGTAAACTAGCATGTAAATTCAACAAAATTGCAATTAAGTAAGTGGCAAATACCCTTTTTTCAGCAATTCCTTGTCATTTAGAGGAGTCTAATGCTAGATTTAAAATTTCATGCTCAGCGTAATAAAGAACAAGGTAAGGATGAGATGTCCTTACTCTGAACAGTAATATGTGCGTTGTATGTCTGTATAAAACGGCTGCATTATCTGGTAGGCTTATAGTCTCTTTGCTCTTGTACAGTGCTAAGACCCTAGAAAGGTGAAGAAGTGTCATTAGTCTTTAGTTTCCTGATGTATTGACAACACTTAGAAGGCTTATTTCCTTGTACCCAGTAGCTGTGTGACAGCTGATGCTACTAGTACTTTTAACGGTATTTTTTTCTGATGTGCACAAATATGATAAACAGAATGAAAAAACGGCTTTACACTTGTATATGATATTTCCAAGTTATCCTTAAAGCGCAAATATGATAAACAGAATGAAGAAAACAGCTTTATACTTGTATATGATATTTCCAAGTTATCCTTAACAATCAACACAGAAAGTGGATTTTGCCAACAACATCCAGTTGTCTCTCACATTAGCAGCCCTGTCAATTGGACTGTGGTGGACGTTTGATAGATCACGAAGTGGCTTTGGTCTTGGAGTAGGAATCGCTTTCCTGGCCACGTTGGTGTCACAACTTCTGGTCTACAATGGAGTTTATCAGTAAGTGTTTACTCCTTTAAGGTTAAATGATAGTCTCCTGAAGCTACAACGTAATATATAATATTATATATCATGTAATATAAGTGAAAGAGTAGAATTTTGCATGATTTACAAAGCCACCAGCACTTAATTTTGAGTGTAATGTAAATTCATGAAAGCTTTTATGTGGTTGTAAGTGAGACTTTTAGTTGGAAGTTGCTTATTTCAATAAAATTACTACATTGCCAACCATATAACTTGCTCTTTTTAGTTGAACAAACTGGATTATAACCAATAAGAAGCTGTCTTTGTTATTTGCTGCAAGTAATTAAACTTCCATAATACATGTCTTTTAGTTGAAACATCCTCATATTTAAATTTCTGGATTTGTCTTATGTGTTTGGAGAACTCTATGTATTACACAAGGTTGAACTCAAAAACTTGTGTTCTTTTCCAGATACACATCTCCAGATTTCCTTTATGTTCGTTCCTGGTTGCCATGTATATTTTTTGCTGGTGGAATAACTATGGGCAATATTGGCAGACAGCTGGCAATGGTAAGTTTGAGGAGGGGGCGGCATCAGTTGCCTTCTAGTAAAAGGTTTACTCTACATGTTGTAGAATCATAGAATGGTTTGGGTTGGCAGG